AAAACTTGAACGCAACAAATACAACACCTCTGTTACACTGGCGTCCCTTGGAAGCTGAAGTCGCAGCTATGGTTTTTAGCGCTAATAAAACAAATAACAGTTAATGGCCATAGTGCATCCCATGGCCATAGACAGAATGTGCGAAGAGCTACGAACACTGTTTATTCTTAGGTTTATCCTAAATTAAAAGAATATATTGATAGATAAATTCTTCTGATTGTGATCTCACTGGAAAAATCGCCAATACATGCTTCCCTCTTGAAAGGTCAAACAGACAGAAACTCACATCAGATGTGATCCTCCATGTTTCCCGTTTCTTTTTGAATTAAATTATGTAATCTCAACTCTTCCTCTGCAAAAAGAGAATTACTAAGGAATCAGAGGGATAAACATTTTGCTAGAATTGGAAGTGAATCACTTTTTAGCAATATTTTAAATGTGGACTGAACTTCTGCATTATGTTCACTCCAGAGTAAAAATTAAATGTAAATGAGGAAAAACAAATGGGATGAAGTGCTTCCTCCTACTATAGGCTACAAAGAGGCGGGCACTGTGAAACAAGCAAACTTGCGGAATGCAAAATCTGGCCAGAAACAGGAAATGCAGGATGTTAACATCTCCGTGGAAAAAGAAAGACAACGTGTTGAATGAATATACAAACCGAATTCACGGAACCTGAGTCTGTGAATACCCCAAAATCTGCTCCCATGCACAGGGCACCAAACCTGTCTGAGTTCCAGTTTCTCCATCTATCAGATGAGGATAATGATAAACTGCATCAGTTATGGAACGCATGTAACAGAAAACCCAGACAACAGATGCTTAAATAAGAAGGAGGTTTGTGCGCTCTATGAAAAGAACAGACTGGCAGTCCAGGGCTGGGATCATGGCCTCCTCCGGCCCCGGGTTCCCTCACACTCAGAGCCAGTCATGTGGCTATGACCTGTGGACCCAATGCTAGAGTAATTCTCTGCTATTGGCATTTTTAGAGTATTAATAATTGAGAACCGCAGTCCTGCATGTCCACTTTGCACTGGGCCCTGCAAATTATGTAGCCAGTCTTGTTCACAACTTCAAGCTTTCTAGTCTACCATCCTTTCTGGGAACATGATCCTCTTCCCCTAACCTTTCCCTCCAGATCCCAAGTGGGAACTTTCTGCTCAATAACCTCTACCTCCATCCCAGAGGCCAGAACTTAGTAATGTGGCTTCTTTTTTTTTTTTTTTTTTTTTGAGTCCCCCTCTGTCCCCCAAGCTGGAGTGCGGTGGCGTGATCTCGGCTCACTGCAACCCCTGCCTCCCGGATTCAAGCAATTCTCCTGCCTCAGCCTCCCAAGTAGTTGGGAGTACAGGCGCATGCCGCCACACCCAGCTAATTTTTTGTATTTAGTAGAGACGGGGTTTCACTGTGTTGCCCAGGCTGGTCACGAACTCCTGAGCTCAGGCAATCCGCCCACCTTGGTCTCCCAAAGAGCTGGGATTACAGGCGTGAGCCACTGCGCCTGGCCAGTACATGGCTACTCTTACCAGCAGAGGAACCTAAGAATACAGTTTTTATAGACAATTGCCTCTCCCAGCAAAATCAGTAGGAAACTAGAATCAGATGGATACTTCGAAAGGCCTTGACACAAAAGTCAAATAAAAGAGATCGTTGTTACAATGAAACATATCCAAATTTAGTTGCTCTAATGATTAAAAAGGTAGGATAAAGTAGATTATCTACTTAATATAATGAGACCATTGAAAATGTTCCATAAAATTAGGAATAATAAAAAGATAAGGCAGATAATCTCAAGAGTATTTCAATTATTTGTATGCTCACTGTGAGAATTTTATAATTATACAACAGTTTTAAGTAAAATAAATTAGTAACAAATATTAATTGGCCTCCTACAATATAAAAATATTATATTTGTATAAGGAGTTTGCAATCTAGTAGAGAAATAAGACACCTTTGACAGCAAAGGTAGGTTCCAAGTGAGTGATAATAACACAAAATACGTAGTAGAAATGAAAGACTGCTTCCTGGTCTCATTACTTTAGGATATACTTCCCATTTAAAGGAACCTTAAAGATTTCAAACAAGTGTAAGCACAACGTTCAGAACAATTGTGGAAGGTTCCAGCTGGATATTCGCTTACAAGATCTGGCAATATCTTTGAGAAGTAAATAGTTAGATGTCATTTTTCCATCTTTGCTGAAAAGGGCATTTCCTATCCCAACATTTGTTTTGAAAAAGACAAAGCAGTAGATAAGGTAACTGCTGCTATACGGGCTGTTCATCTTTCCAAATAACACGTATCTTGTTAGTTTCCTAAGTAAGGATTTTCAATGGCTTCTTAACACTGTTTTTATTGAGTCTAAAGTCCTCTGCCTATCATCTATCATTCAAGGCCCTTCTTAATTTAGGCCCATCCTAAGTAAGCAAATTTACTAATTTTCTTAACTCTCTGGTAGTGGCTTTCTACCATAAATCATAATTATGACAACAGCTAATTATATATATTAACACTAAGAATCTGAGATATAGCTACAGTGGTGTTCAGATGAAAATTCACATCCTCATATGATTATATTAATAAACAAAAGTAAAAATGAATGAATTCAGCATACCATTCATGGAGTTAGAAAAGGAAATAATAAAAATAAAGTTGAAATTAATAATTTAGAAAACAGAAAAAGAATAAAACTGATAAATACAACCAAAGCTGGCACTCTGAAAAAATAAATAAAATAAACTTCTGCTTAATCTAAGCAAGGAAAAGGGAGAAATTAAAAACATATAACATGAGAAATGCTAATGGGAAAATAACTACAGAAAATTAGAAGAAGCAAAAGACTACTTCGCAAATATATCTGAATATTCTACGCAAATAGATTTGAAGTACTATATATTATAACATATTATATTATACATTATATTAATACATATTATATTATATATTATACTAATAGATTTGAATATGCTATGCAACTATATTTGAAATATGAATGAGATTATCATTTTTCTAGGAAGATATCATTTACCAACCTGATGACAAAAAAGAGAAAAATCCTAAGCAGATTTATTTCATAGATGAAACAAAGAAACTAGCCAACCACTCTCCCTAATTCCCTAAGTCCAGTCGGTTTCACAGGGATTTCTCCCAAATATTTAAAAAACAGATCATTCCAGTGCCATTTAAACTACCTAGACTATGAAAAAGAAAAAAAACTTTTAAATTATTTTGATAAAGCAACTATAACACTGCCACCAAAACCCAGTAACAATTTCACATACACATAAAGGAAAATTACAGATCAGTCTTACAAATATTGATGTAAAAATTATAAATTATCCAATAGAATATATGATGACCAAGTGACATTTATTCCCAAATGCAAATATGACTTGATGGAGGAATTATTAATATATCATACTAATAAGTTAAAGGGAAAGTAATATAATTAGATCTATAGATAGTAAGACAAGCCCTATCAAAATTTAATCTCCATTATGAGGTTTTTATTTGTTTATTATGTTTTTAAAAATAATACAGATAGGGTTCCACTATGTTGACCAGACTGGTCTTGAACTCCTGGCCTCACGCAATCCTCCCATCTCAGCCTCCCAAAGTGCTGAGATTGCAGGTGTGAGCCACTGCACCTGGGCTTTTGAGGTTTTTTTAAAAAATATATTTAATAAAACAGAAATGAATGAACATAATTTTTTAAAAAAAATATGTCTATCTCAGACCAAAAGGCAATATCAGACTTAATAAGGAAACACTAGAAGTTCCCTTGAAGTCAGAAAAAAGTCTGATTGGCACTATTTCCTTTTATTGTCTAACACACTCTGGAGGTACTATCTAAAGCTACCAGACAAGAGAAAGAAATCGGAGAAACAAAAATTGTTAGAGAGGAGGCAAGGCTATGACTATTTACAAATTATATAATTGGATATCTGGAAAATTCATGAGAACCAACTAAAAACAAAAATTACTAGAAATAAAACACATTCAGCAATCAAGGTATAAAATACATACACAGAAATCACAAGCCTCTGGGCATACTAACAGCCAGAAAATATAACGAAAGGAAAGGTCCCATGTACGTTCACAACAAATAGATAGAAATAAAGTTAGCAAAACCAGTCTTTAATAAGATAGGAATCAATGAACACAATTTTCTAAAATATGTCTGTCTCAGACCAAAAGACAATATCAGACTTAATAAGGAAACAAAATGTTCCTGCAGGACAAAGAAGTAGAGTTGAATAAATAGAACCACTTATTATATCTTTGGAGAGTAACATAAAAATCATAAAATATGTCAAGTTGTGCTAAGTTAATTTTTAAATTTAAGGTGATCTTGATAAAAAAAAAAAAAAGGGTTCTTTTATTTTTATTTTTTTGGTTGTTTTTGTTGCTCACTGGAACTAAAGAAAACTGAATCCACAAATCATATTAAAAAATCAGTAAGCCCTAATAGGACAGAACACTCTAGAAAAGAGGAGCAATGATGGAAAACTAGAAACCAGCCCTTCTAGATTTTAAGCGACACTCAACACTTTTGGGAACTGGAGCGTGAACAGACCTACTGAACAGAACGGAGGCAAATGCATACAGGACTTTGGTATGTAAAGCTGGCATTTCAAATCAGTGGGGACTATAAAGACGATTCAATAAATGGTGTTGGTATAAATGAGTGGCCATTTGGGGGGAAAAAAAAAGAAACATTGGGACCATATCAATTTATGCTAGGGGAAATTCTGGATAGGTGGAAGGTTAAATGTGGGAAGTGAAAGAATCAAAGTTCTAAGAGAAATGAGGAGAAAATCATTTATAATATCAGAGTGGGAAAGCCTTGAGAACATGACTTAAAATCCAGAAGACATGAAAGAAAATAATGACAAGTTAAAAACATAAAAATCAAAAACATCTGCATGAGTGAAACACCATAAACAAAGTCAAAAGACAAAGGACAAACTTGGGAAAATATTTGCATCTCATCTAACAGAAACAGAGCTAATTTGGTTTTCTTTATTTTAATAGCTTTAGGGGTACAGGTGGGTTTTGGGTTACACGGATGAATTGTACAGTGGTTAAATCTGGGATTTTAGTGGGCCCATCGTCACCCCAAGTAGTGTACATTGTACCCAATAGGTACTTTTTCATCCCTTACCTCCCTCCTAGCCTCCCCCATTCTGAGTCTCCAATGTCCACAGTACCACTCTGTATGCCTTTGTGAACCCATAGTTTAGCTCCCATTTATCAGTGAGAACATGCAGTATTTGGCTTTCTGTTCCTGCGTTAATTCACTTAGGATAATGGTCTCTAGCTCCATCCATGTTTTGGCAAAGGACACAATTTCATTCTTGGGGCTAACTTTTAAAGTTCCTGTAAAAAGATAAGGGAAAGGACAAAACTCAGTAACAAATGTGCAAGGGATATGAACAGCCAATACATAGAAAAAGAAAAGCAAATGGAACTGGGCATGGTGGCTCATGCCTGTCATCCTAGCACTTTAGAAGGCTGAGGTGGGCAGATAGCTTGAGCCCAGAAGTTAAGAGACCAGCCTGAGCAACATAGTGAGACCCCCTCTCTATTTTTAAATATGTTTAAAAAAAAAAAAAAAGCAAATGGTTCTCTAACTTTTGAAAAGATACTCATTTAAAAAAAAAAACAAAAAAACTAAACTACACGATGACACTTTCTCCCATGAGATAAGCAAAAATCTAAAAGTTTAATAATACACTATGCTGATGTGTACATCTGTTATGTGTAACAGGTGTATAACTAAATGTGTACATCTAAATGTAGATATACACCTGTGTACATCTGTTATTAAATGTACTGCTAAATATTTTATTTTTGAACCTATTATAAATGAAATTGTTTTTCAATTCATTTTCCAGTGGTTTGCTGCTAAAATATAAGAATAGAATTGGCCAGGCACAGTGGCTCATGTCTGAAATCTCATCCTTTGTGAGGCCGAGGCAGGAGGATCACTTGAGGCCAGGAGTTCGAGACCAGCCTGCTCAACAGAGTGAGACCCTCATCTTGACAAAAATAAAAAATAAGCCGGATGTGGTGGCACATGCCTGTAGCCTCAGATACTTAGGCAGTGAGGTGGGAGGATCACTTGAGAAAGGAGTTTGAGGCTGCAGTGAGCTATAATTGTGCCACTGCACTCTAGCCTGGATAAACAGAGCACGACCCTGTCTGTAAAATTTTAAAAAGAAAACAGAATCAATATTTGTATTTTAATTTTATATACTTTGACATATTTACTTATTACTTGATGTGGTTTGGCTCTGTGTCCCCACCCAAATCTCATGTTGAATTGTGACCCTGAGTGTTGGAGGTGGGGCCTGAAGGGAGGTGATTGGATCATGGGGGTGGTTTCTAATGGTTTAGCACCATCTCCCTACTGCTGTCTCATGATGGAATTCTCATGAGATCTGCTTGTTTAAAAGTGTGTAGCACTTCCCCTTTCACTCTCTCTTACCTGCCATCATGTGAAGATGTGCTGGCTTCCCCTTCACCATCTGCCATGATTGTAAGTTTTCTGAGGCCTCCCCAGCCATGCCTTCTGTACAGCCTGCAGAACTGTGAGTCAATTAAACTTCTTTTCTTCATAGATTGCCCAGTCTCAGATAGCTCTTTATAGCAGTGTGAGAATGGACTAATACAGGAAACTGGTATCAGAGAAGTGGGGCTTTGCTACAAAAGATACCTGAAACTGTGGAAGCAGCTTTGGATGGGCAGAGGTTGGAACAGTTTGGAAGGCTCAGAAGAAGACAGGAAGATAAGGGCAAGTTTGGAACTTCCTAGAGACTTGTTGAATGACTTTACCAAAATACTGATAGTGAGATACGGACAATGAAGTCCAGGCTAAGGAGGTCTTAGATGGAGATGAGGAACTTATTGGGAACTGGAGTAAAGGTCATTCTTGCTATGCTTCAGCAAAAAGACTGCTGGTATTGTGCCCCTGCTCTAGGGATCTGTGAAATTTGAACTTGAGAGAGATTATTTAGAGTATCTGGTGGAAGAAATTTCAAAGCAGCTAACCATTCAAGAAGTGACCTGGCTGCTTTTAACAGCATATGCTCATATGCATTCGCAAAAAAGGTGGTCTGATATTGGAACTTACATTTAAAAGGGAAGCAGAGTATAAAAGCTTGGAAAATTTTCAGCCTGCCATGTAGTAGAAAAGAAAAACCTGTTTTCTGGGAAGTAATTCAAGCCAGCTGCAGAAATTTACATAAGTAAAAAGGAGCCAAATGTTAATAGCCAAGACAATGGGGAAAATGCCTCTAAGACATTTCAGAGACCTTCATAGCAGCCCCTCCTATTACAGGCCCAGAGGCCTAGGAGGGAGAAACAGTTTTGTGGGCCAGGCCCAGGGCCTTACTATTCTGTGCAGCCTTGGGACATGGTGCCCTGAATCCCAGCCACTCCAGTTTCAGTCACGGCTAAAAGGGGCCACAGTACAGCTTGGGCCATTGCTTCAGAGGGTGTAAGCCCCAAGTCTTGATGGCTTCCCTGTAGTATTGGGCCTGTGGGTACGCAAAGGGCAAGAGTTGAAACTTGGGAGCCTCTGCCTAGATTTCAGAGGATGTATGAAAACACCTGGATGTCCAGGCAGAAGTCTGCTGCAGGACTGGATCCCTCATGGAGAACCTCTACAAGGGCAGTCTGAAGGTGAAATGTAGGGTTGGAGCTCCCACCAAGTTCCCACTGGGGCACTGCCTAATGGAGCTGTGAGAAGACAGTCAGCATCCTCCAGACTCCAGGATGAGACATCCACTGACAGCATGCACTGCACACCTGAAAAAGCTGCAGGCACTCAATCTCAGCCCATGAAAGCAGCTGTGGGGGTTGTATCCTGCAAAGCCACAGAGGCAGAGCTGCCCAAGGCCTTGGGAGCCCACCCCTTGCATCAATGTGCTTTGGATGTGAGACATGGAATCAAAGGAGAGTATTTTGGAGCTTGGAGATTTAATGACTGTCTTCCTGGGTTTTGCTTGCAAGAGGCCTGTAGCCCCTTTGTTTTGGCCAATTTCTCCCTTTTGGAATGGGAGCATTTACTCAATGCCTGTACCCACATTGTATCTTGGAAGTAACTAACTTGTTTCTTTATTTTACAGGCTCATAGGTAAAGGGTACTTGCCTTGTCTCAGATGAGACTTTGGACTGGGATTTTTGAGTTAATTCTGGAATGAGTTAAGAATTTGGAGGATTTTTGGGAAGGCATAATTGTTTTTGAAACGTGAAAAGGACATGACATTTGGTAGAGGCCAGGCACAAAATGATATGGTTCGGTTCTGTGTCCTTACCCAAATCTCATGTTGAATTGTGATACTAAGTGTTGGAGGGGGGGTTGGTGAGAGGTGATTGAATCATAAGGGTAGTTTCTAATGGTTTAGCACCATCCTTCTAGTGCCATCTTGTGATGGAATTCTCATGAGATCTGCTTCTTTTAAAAGTGGGTAGCACCTCACCTTTCGTTCTCTCTCTCGCCTGCCACCATGTGAAGATGTGCTGGCGTCCCTGTCACCTTCTGCCATGATTATAAGTTTCCTGAGGCCTCCCCAGCCATACTTCTTGTACAGCCTGTAGAACTGTGAGGCAATTAAGACTCTTTTCTTCAAAGATGACCCAGTTTCAGGTAGTTCTTTATAGCAGTGTGAGAATGGAATAATACATTACTTCTAATTATTTTGTAGATCCTTAGGATGTACAAAACAATCATATGTAAACAATCATATTGCCTGCAAATAAGGACGATTTTGCTTCCTTCTTTCCAATCTTTATTATTTTATCATTCTTTATTGCAGTGGCTAGAAGCTCCAATTCAATATTGAGTAGAAATGGTAAAAAAAAAAAAAAAATGAGCACATTTGCCTTTTTTCTGATTTTGGTAGAATATCATTTAATATTTCACCATTAAGTATAATGCTTGCTGTAGGTTTTTCATAAATGCTTTTTATGAAGTTGAAGAAGTCCTTTATAGTCTCAGTTTGGTGAGAAATTTTCTTATAAATGGATATCAAATTTTGTCATATTTTTTATCTACATGTGAAAATGAAGAGATAGTTTTTCTCCTTTATTCTGTTAATATGGTGAGTTATATTGATTTTCAATATATTGTTAAACAAACCTTGAATTCCTGGGATAAAACTAATTGGTTATGCTGTATTATTTTATTATTTGCTTCTTGTTTGTCTCCTCTGCTGTTAGTCCCTCTTGTTCTCCCTTTCCTATATTCTTTTGGATTAAGTGAATATTTTTATAATTTCATTTTAACTTACCTATTGGTCTTTTAGTTTTTTACATGATTTCTTAGAAGCTCCTCTAGAGACTACAATATAATCCCTTAACTTCTCAGCCTACTTACAATTTTATTGGTCCATTTACCCTCCCCAGCCATACCACCAACACTGCCACCATCTTTTATGCCATAGCTGCCATATAATCTATCTATATGTGATATAAACCTTAAGTCAATATTATAAAACGTCCTTTATACAGTTGTGCATATATGAAAAAATTAAGAGGAAAATTGGGCTTTGGTGTTTACCCCAATATTTATAACTTTTTATGCTTTTCATTCCTTTTCTCATATTCTGTACAACTTTCTTTAGCTTCTGGAAGTGCAGGTCTTCTGGTGATGAAATCTCAGTTTTCTGATATCTGAAGATGTCTTCATTTTGCTTTCATTCTTGAAGGATATTTTTGCTAAACAGAGATTTCTAAGCTGACGGTTTTTTTCTTTAAGCACTTCAACAATTTCAATCCACTGTCCCTGACTTCTATAATTTCTGCTGAGAAGTCCACAACCATTAAAATCATTATTCTCCTATATATAATGTGTCATTTTCATTTACTGCTTTTAAGATTCCCCTTTGTTTTTTGTTTGTTTGTTTGTTTTCAGTAGTTTGACTATGATGTGTCTAGTTTGATTTTCTTTGTATTTATCCTGTTTGGGATTCACAAAGCTTATCCAATCAGAAAATGTAAACATCTTATTAAATTTAGGATGTTTTCAGCCACTATTTTTTCAAATGTTTGCCATCTCATTCTTTTTCTCCTCTCTTCCTGATACTTTAACTATCCATAATGTCAGCTATTTTAATATTGTGCCACACATTCCTGAGGTTCTCTACATTTCTCACTCCCTTTTCTCCTCCTCCTCCTCTTCCTCCTCCTCCTCCTTCTTTAGATGGGACAATTTCTATTGCTCTATCTTCAAATAGAGGCATTTAGATATGTGTAGAAACTGGTCAGCTTCCAAAAATGCAAATACAGCCCAAATAAATGTTAAGAACAATATATGAAAGTCTTAAGAAACCAGAAACATGTCAAGCGGGGAGACCTTCACTGTTAGGTGATAGGGCAACCATCTGGTCATTTCATTCATGATCCCAGTTATTTTCATCTGTAGCAAAAAGTTATAGGATTTTCATTGTTACTGGAAATGAGAAAAAGTATATATACACATATATATGTATATATATATTTATATCTGTGATTTCTGGCAAATGTATAGGTGGTATTACACTTGAATTACATCCATATAGTTCCTAAGAATAATTTTATATGCCAAGAGTTAAGATGCCTAAATTTTTTAAAAAGAACAGCAAATATCCACAGGCCTCAGAGTACATTGAGACGCATACAGTCTAAATGTATTCCTTTCAGGATTTTGATTATAAAAAATTTCAGTAACTCCCTCAAAGATAGAGATTATTTATTCAACAAACATTATGGCAGATTCAAGTATCAAAACAATCTGTAAATTTGGGCATGTAGACCCAAAAAAGATCCTCTCTCAAACTGCTAACCTGGTGTTGCTAAATGAAGCAGTTCTTGCCTAAGAATTTTCACAGGTGCTCATTTGCATCCATGAAATTCCTCTCGTTACATCAGTTTTTAAACAGGTTGTTTGTATCAAGTTTCAAGAGTAATTTGTGAACACTGGTGTCTATCTATCCCCATAGCAGAGATAGTAACTTCTGAAAATTTCCAGTTACTCCTAGAGATTAAAGAGTTGGAAAATAAAAAGGTAAAATTTAAATTGTAATCTACTGGTCTAAGCCTATATTTTCAAATGGCCAGGCTTATAAACTGTCTTCTTACTTAATATCCTTGCCTCAGCTGTCTTCCCCACACATTTTTTTTAAACAGTCTCAATCTGGCATCTACTGCAGCCTCAACCTCCCAGGCTCAGGTAATTCTCCAACCTCAGCCTACCAAGTAGCTGGGACTACAGGGGTACGCCACCACGCCCAGCTACTTTTTTTGTATTTTTTGTACAGACAGGGTTTTGCCATGTTGCCTAGGCTGCTCCTGAACTCCTGGGCCCAAAGTCCCATGCAGTTTGAACAGTATATACAATTGGAAGCCTCACATGCCAAACCCCACCTTCAACATGTTTCCCAAAATTTTCAAATCCCATCCTTTCACCTGGTCTTTCAGACCTTCCCCTAGAGCAGCAGTACCCTGTACCTGGTCCGTGGCCCAGGCATCAGGGACTCCTGCCCTAGGGTACATCTATTTGCTCTTGGAGTCACTGCCACAGCCACTGTCACTATTCCCCGACGTGGCCCCTCACAGGCTTGTGCTGATGCATGCAAGCCAGCCCTCCGTCACTGATCCCGCATGCCGTTACCCTGGAGCAGCTCCCACACATGTGCAAAGCTGATGTTCACCTGGGCCTTCATTCATTCCAGTTCCCTACCTAGAATGTCTACACAGTCGTCACACCCTGCCACCAGACCTTCGCAGCCATGCAGACACCTCGTCTCCAGAATTACCTCTGACACCTAAAGCACTCACAGACCCCACCTCCCTCCCTTTCTCTTTTCTACCCCACATTTTAATATCTTCCATTTCTTCCTGTTTCTCTCCTCCCAGTAGACTATAACTTCTTTAAGGGTAAGAAATGGGTCTCCTTTCTCTTCGTATTCTCCAGTACTAAAAACACTTTCTGGCACATGTTAAACATTCACTACATGTTTGTTGAATTAATGAAAGAATAAAGAAATAAATGTACTTATACTCTTGAATTCAACCAAGAAAATATAACAGTGGTCCCCTACATGTAATTTATCACTTACAGCTCAACTTTATATAAAACTTTCTCCAAACTAGAACCACTCAATTTCTTTCCACCACTTCCTTCAAAATTCACCAACTTCAAAGGCTCCATAATTTAACCCCTCCCCTTTGATCCTTCTTTTCTGCCATCTTCCAGATTCCACATTCCTCAGGAGCAGGCTTAAGGCCTTATCTTTCTCGTATTTTAAGTGTTTGCTTAGTTCCTTTTTGTGCCAGGTACACTAACTAGATGGGAAAAGGTTTTTTGGTTGTTTTCTTGTTTTTAATTTATCATGCAATTTTCACAACTTCACAAGATGAATATTAATACCCAAGATTTAATAGATGAGAAGACTAAGTAACTTGCCCAAGGTCACACAACTAATGAAAGATGGAGTTGACATTTTAACATAAGGCTACTGTATTCTAAAGACACGCTCTTTTCTTTTTTTCCATCCCAGGACAAGGGAAAAGGGACAATTATTCTAGGCTGGATACTTACTTTATGTTCTTTCTGTAATAGATCTGTTATATTTTACAACAGGAAATATTTTTGAAACCACAGAATAGGTTCAGCAAAATAAGTGAAGCTTATCTTTGATCAGAGATAAAGGCAAAGAAACCCCAGCTTCAAATTAAAACCCCATATATGCAAATGTAATTTTATGAGCCAGGACTATCTTTTCCTGAGTTTTTTAACTTTAAAACACCAAAGCACAGTGGCTACAGAAGGAAAGTAGTCAAGGAGTTGCACCACAGAATGAAATCGTATTATCACAGGCCTTAATACAACAGGCCAAATTCATTTCGAAAAAATGTATTCAAGTCTTAGACCCTGTGAAAAAACAACTCTTATTTTCAAGAACAGGAACAGCTAGGGGTTTTTTACATCTTCTTACAAGAAATTTCCATCCATTGGCTTTAAATTTTACTTTTCATTCAAAAGCACAGCATGTTTTTATATTGAAAACTTCCTAGGAAAAGGAGAGCCATTTTCTCATACTCTGAATCACGGTTTTGCTCTGACTAGGTAAACAGCATGCACCCTCAAACTCTTGCTAGAGAGAGTCACTGAAACCTTTTAGGTTAAAAGGAAATGACTGGTAAATAGCTTTTCTGAATCTGAGTTCTTCTGTAGGAAATGGAAAAACAGAGAACTTACAATTCTAACGAGTAGCATCAGACTCAAATAACAACTTTATGGGAAAATAAGGATCGATTTGAAAGCTAGGCTCCTTCAGCTCAGACTCAGATTTTGAGGGGCCCTGTGTTTTTATAATTTTGGAGGCTCTCTACAAGAAAAAGAACGCAAACTTACAAATGCAAATTTAATCATAAACACAAATATGTATCTAGAATAAAAAAACATAAAGCATAAATTTAATAAGGCTGACAAATACGGCAAACAAAATTTTTCACCAAAATATGAAATAACATTTTTACTAACTGTCTGGGACATTTCGGTAGTGTTTCCTTTCCTATCTTTTTTAGTTGCATGCTCTTTTAAAATACTTTTTTCCTAAAAAATAAAGATTTAAAATTATTTTCTCTATTGAGAATAAAAGTTTTTCCTTTAATTTGGCTAAAATTTGGAGTTCTTTCCAACATTAATAGCTTAGAATAATTTATTTCAGCTTCTCAACTCATTATTGTAATGTCATGTAAATTTTTAGAATTATTGTCAAATTTGGAGAAATCTCTGTCAAGTGTTTTTCATACAGGAGCTACAAAATCTGGAAAAATATCTGCAGACTGCTGGTTTTATATATTTCAAATGTTCCTCTACATACTGCCAATATTAGGCTCTACAAAAAGTGTTCTTCTCATAGTACATGTCACAAGCCTGGTGAGTAGGCACTGTGGCCAGTAGGACTATCTTTGAAAGCCCCTCCCACCCCAGGATAGTTATGAATAACTTACCTACTCAAGGAAGTGACTGCAAAGCACATAAGTAAATCCCACTGCTATGGCCTGGATGTTTGGGTTCCCTCAAGATTCCTAGGTTGAAATCCTACTAAGGTGATGGTATTAAGAGGTGGGGCATTTTGGGGAAAGATGAGGTCATGAGGCTGGGGCCCTCATCAGTGGGATTAGTGCCCTATGGAAGAGGCCTGAGAAAGATCCCTCACCTCTTCCACCACATGAGGGCATAGAGAGAAAGTGCCATCTGTAACCAGGAAAGGGGCCCTTATCAGACACCAAATCTGCTGGTGCTATGATCTTGGACTTCCCAGCCTCCAGAACTGTGAGAAATAAATTTCTGTTGTTATAAGCCACCCAGTTTATGGGATTTTGCTATAGCAGCTGAAATGGACTAAGACATTCACTGAAATCAAACTAAATATATCCATAAGTCAGCTTTCCCTTAGCCTAGTCCTAAAATCCCCATGACCACTCCAGAGCCATTCAATAAGGTAAGTCAGCATGAAAAGAGACATGATTGTGGTTGAAATATTTTTCGCAGACAGGCATGGTGGCTCATGCCTGTAACCCTAGCAGTTCAGGAGGCCAAGGTAGGAGGATCACTTGAGCCCAGGAGTTTGAGGCCAGCCTGGGCAACATAAGGGAGACCTTGTCTCTACAAAATAAATAAATAAATAAATCAGCCAGGCATGGTGGTGTGCTCCTGTGGCCCCAGATACTCAGGAGGCTGAGGTGGGAGGGTTGCATGACCTCAGGGAGTTTAAAGCTGCAATGAACTATGATCACACTACTGTACTCAAGCCTGGGCGACAGAGCAAGACTCTGTCTCTGTGTCTCTCTCTCTCTATCTCTCTCCCTCTCTCTCTCTCATATAGATGGATAGATAATATATATAAAAAACACTCTATATCTATATATATTATCTATATATAGGTGATATATAATCTATATATTATAGATATAATATATATCTATATACAGATATCTTAAATATATATATCTTAAAGTACTGACATCTTCCACCACCACTCGTAATCACAGCCACAGGCTGTAAACCACACTGGAGAATGGAGGCAAAGTGCGGCTCACCAGGTCCCAGTGCCAGACACTGGATTCCGGGGTTCCACGTGTGTCTGCACAGATGCATTTGTTTCTCTCAACACCGAGGAAGACTCCCCCATTACACACTGGGAACCGGACGCAGAGCTACTCCCCAGTGGAGTGGAACCCAGGGCAGCTGCTCTTTCCACTTCCCATAGCGGCTTTTCCAGCGTTCTTTTCCTTACCATAAGAGGGGTAACACATACTCATTAGAGAAAACATTTTCAGTAGATGGGATTTTTTAAATTACCTGTAGTCACATTACCTAGATACAACCATGGAAAGATTTTGGCGTATTTTCATGTTTTATGGAACAAAGAAATTGAAAACATTAAATTAAACCAAATCTATTTCTCTCATTATTAAAGAAATATACATTCCCTGTCAAAAATATGAAAAGTATAAAAAAAAAAAAACTTAAAACCATCTGTATTTGTTGGCGAGGGCTGTTGTAACAAAGTGCCACAGACTGCACAGTTTAACAACAGACATTTTTTGTCTCGCAGTTCTGAAGGCCAGAAGTGCAAGATCAAGGTGTTGGCAAGGCTGGTTGGTTCCTTCTGAGGGCTGTGAGGGAAGGGTCTGTTCTACACCTCCCTGCTAGCTTCTGGTGTTTTACTGCCAATCTCTGGCATCCCTTGGTTGACAGAACATTACCCTGACCTCTCCCTTCATCTTCACATCGTGTCCTCCCAGTGTGCAAATCTGTATCCAAATTTCCCCTTCTTATAAGGACACTGGTTACATGGGATTTGAGGCCCACCCCACTCCGGTATGACCTCATTCTAACTTAAGTAATTAATACACGATTTCCAAATAGTCACATTCTGAGGTAGTGGGGGTTAGAACTTGAACATATGAATTTGGAAGCGGGTGGGAGGACACAGTTCAACACAGAACACCATTCCAAATCCTGTGAGGCAAAGAAAACAGATGTTAGCAAGTTATTACTAGGTCGTTTTTGAAGGTATGGCCAGAAATTTCTTTTGCTACTCTGCTCATTGAGGTTGGGGTCTGTGTCCCCATTTCTCTGAATCTGGGCAAGCTGGTGACTGCTCTGCTCAGTAATCCTAATGTTCAAGTCATGACAACCCAGGCACCAGGCAGGGGAATGAAAGAGCTTCCAGATGTTTCCAGCCCCCAGCTACCAAGTCATTCCCAGCTTGGGACTTACTGAGCTAAGGTCACAGACACCAGGGAATAAAGACAAACCCTCCCTCCTGTGCCCTGTTGAAATTCCAGATCCACAGAACCCGTGAGCATAATAAATGCATGTTGTTTGTGATGGTTAGTTTTATGTCTAGACCACAAGATGCCTAAATACTTCAATAAACCTTATTCTGGGTATGTCTGTAAAGGTGTTTGGATGAGATTAACACTGGAATCATAGACTGAGTAAAGCAGATTGCTTTCCCCAGTGTTCCTTCCCCAGTCCATTGTAGGCCAGAACAAAAGACCTGGCAAGGTAGAACTTGGTCCCTCTGCCTGACTACTTGAGCTGGGCCATCAGTCTTCTCCTGCACTCAAACTGGGGCTTACCCCATCAGTGCCCCTGGTTCTCAGGCCATTCGACTCATTCTGGAACTACACCACCAGCTTTTCTGGGTCTCCAGCTTGCAGATGGCAGATTACGGGACTTCTTGTCTTCCACAATCCATGAGCCAACTCCTTGCAATAAACTGCCTATAATAAAGGTCTTATAATATATATGTTTATACACTATTGGCTCTGTTTCTAAAGGTTCCAAATATATTGTTTAAGTCAGTAATTTCAGAGGTGGGCGGAGGGCTAATTACCCAGCAATAGTTATATTGTAATATTTCTAGTCAGAAATATTTTAATTCTTATATAATTATAATTCTTACTCTTTTTTCTGTGCCTTTAAAAATATTTCTCTTACTAAAATGAGTCACTAACTTCTTAGATCAAAAGGAAATGATAATTTCTCTGATTCTGAGATTTATTTTAAAAAATATTTAAAAAGAGTTCGGCCTCACTTCTAAACATTTGCATTATATAAACATAATGAATATACTGAGTCCAGCCATAGGTAACACAGGGACAGTCACAAGTCCCAAGTGGAGGATAGTATGAACTGAAGCTTTCTGATGCAGTGGCTGCTTAGACCTTTTACTATTCTTTCCCAGTTAAAAGTCAGAGAAATCAAGTAAACATTGAAGTCTTAAAGATGCAGACAACAACTGGGCCCAGCGGCTCATGCTGTAATGCCAGCACTTTAGGAGACTAAGGTGAAGGATTACTTGAGTCCAGGATTTCAAGAGCAGACCCTGGGCAACAAAGTGGGACTATCTCTTTGAAAAAAAAAAAAGGACATAGAAAACATGTGAGGTTCTTGGTAATGCAAATAATGAATACGATGCACTACACAGCTCTGGTTTTGAGAAAGGGGAAGTGTTTGGTTCTTCTTGGCACTGGCTCTCAACCATGTAAATAGTTTGGCCAATATTAACAGACCCTGGAGCCAAATCAGTTTCATGTGGTCATCAATCATGACATTTCTTCTGAAACATGAGGTAAAGCATGTGGTGCAAGAAATACACTTTCTGGGAAATGACGGAAACCTTAAGAGGTGCAGCTCGGGGAGGTTCTTGCAGGCCAAACCGCAGCCCCTAGCCACAGAACTGACCAGACCACACAGAGGCCAAATACCTGTGTGTGGGTCCAGCATGAACAACGCTGGTCCTAAAGTCCCTGTGGATCATGATCTCCTCATTACTGAGATCTTCATTTTCACTGCTTTTTCAGGTAGTAGATCTTTGAGATGTGTTAATGAAGGGACGGGAAGGTCTATGGTACCAGGTCTATGGTACTGAAAGTATATACTGTTACCTTGAAAGACAACAGACTTAGTTGGGCATGAGGTTGTTCCCAACATTTCCCCCTGAAAACTCTACTACATGTGGTTTCATTGTCTTCTGATCTTGGGTGGTGCAAAAAAAAAAAAAAAGTCTATGGCCAGAGAGATTTCTGTTCCTGCATAGGAAACTTACTTTTTTCTATCTGAATGCTCATATGGTCTATTTCTTATATCTTTGTAATGTGAAAATGTTGTCACTCTTTTTTCTTGGAATGTGGTGGATTTTTTTTTTTTTTTTTTTTTTTTTTTTTTTGAGATGGAGTCTCGCTCTATTACCCAGGCTGGAGTACAGTGGTGCAATCTCAGCTCACTGCAACCTCTACCTCCTGGGTTTGAGCAATTCTCTCCTGCCTCAGCCTCCCATGCAGTTGGGATTACAGGTGCCCGCCACCACGCCTGGCTAATTTTTGTATTTTTACTAGAGACAGGGTTTCACCATGTTCACCAGACTGGTCTCGAACTCCTGACCTCAAGCAATCCGCCTGCCTCCACCTCGCAAAGTGCTGGGTTTATGGGCGTGAGCCACTGCGTCCAGCCCTGTGGTGGATTCTTTTGATCTTCACCTTCAAGTTCTTTTCAGCACAAGAAACACTTGTTTAATTAGGTCTTTGGTTGTTACTTCTATTTTCCCACAGGAATACCTAAGATTCTTGCGTTGAATCATTCTTCCCTCCCCTAGATAGCTCTCATCTCCTGCACCGGGCCAATACTTTTAATCCTTTTCTCTGCATTCTGGGAACATACCTTAGGTGGTTCTTCACATCCCTCATTTGACATTCAACAGCATTCTCTCTAATGTGGACGTGAATGTTATTACTCATCTTTAATTGCTTTTTAATCACTTACCTCTTGATATTTCCTGCCTCACACTCTGATTCAGACACATTGAACTTCTCTCAATTGCTCAACATTCTAGGGTTTTGTTTTTGTATTTGTATTTGTTTTTGGAGACAGGGTCCCCCTCTGTCACCCAGGCTGCAGTACAGCGACACGATCACAGCACACTGCAGCCTCTACCTCCCAGGTTCAATCGATCCTCTGGCCTCAGCCTCCCAAGTAACTGGGACTACAGGTGCGTGTCACCACACCCAGCTAATTTTTGTATTTTTTTGTAAAGATGGGGTTTCACCATGTTGCCCAGTCTGGTCTCAAACTTCTGGGCTCACGCAATTTTCCTGCCTTGGCCTCCCAGTGTGCTGGGATTACAGGCATGAGCTACTGCGCCTGGACAACATCCTGGGTTTTTTCTCACCTCTAGGGCTTCACACACGGTATTCTTCGGTCATAAACGCCCTCCACCACCAAGTCATTTCATTTGGCAAACTCCTACATCTTCATACGCTCTGAGCTTCAGCTTTCATGCAGGAAGCTTGCCATGACCGTCGAGGATGGCTCACAGTCCTCGGGCTTCTATTGTGCCCTGCCAACCCTATTATCACGCATTTCACACTGAATTGGAAATGCCAGTTCCCTTGTCTGGTACCTCACTAGATTCTGAGAGGACAAGAACTATGACAATTTTATTCATCATTATATCCTCAGCCCCGAACATCACTGCTGGCATGTGGTAAGCATTAAAAAATATTTTTGCCTATAATATCAGTCTTTTTCAATCACATTCGTCTTTTTGCATCTTAAGAATTCTCTACATGGTACTCAAAGGTGGTACCAAACAGCATCTTTAGGGATACCAACAAGTTTCATTTTTAGAGTTCTGTCTTCCTCTGATTATTCCAATGTGTGTTCCCTTCCTCCTACTTGACAGCATTTTTTCATAGATTTTATGCTTCTTCTGACCTCCTCCTCCAATGAATAGAATAGATCCAGACTTGGTGCCCACCAACAGACATACATCATACTGACCCTGGCCTCACTTTCTATCTACCTGGGTGCCTGCCAATCTCCTCTTCAAGCTATAAAACAGACTGCAATGTCCAGCTCCCAGCTCCCTCCCATTTCCATCTACTGTGTTCCTCTAGACAGAAATGGGACATGTCCTGTCCCACTGCCATGGGTATTTAGTTAGAATTGGAAGAAATTCCAACTTCAGTCAATGCCACTTTAAACCAGGAGTCCCCAGCCCTTTCAGTTTAAATGAATCCCAGGGACAAGGACATAATTTTGATGATTTTGGCAGGTGTTCTTAGAACACACTTTAGAAGTCTTATTTATGTCCTATATATTAGAGTGTCATCTTAAAGCAGCCTTGTATAGAAAATTTTGTAATCCTGTTAATGTCTTTGTTTTCTGCCTCTATAATTAAGAACTTACCTTTGACCTTTGGAGCACTGACCTTGTTTCTCTGGAGTCTTCCTCCTGAATGGGTCACTCCCCGTTTTTTCTTGAATAAACTTTTTTTTTTTTTTTGAGACAGAGTCTCGCTCTGTAGCCCAGGCTGGAGTGCAATAGTGCGATCTCGGCTCACTGCAAGCTCCACCTCCCGGGTTCATGTCATTCTCCTGCCTCAGCCTCCCGAGTAGCTGGGACTACAGGCGCCTGATACCACGTCTGGCTAATTTTTAAACTATTTAAACTGGAAAAAAATGAAACAAAATAAAGTTTAAAATAGAAAAATTAGCTGGGCATAATAGCAACTACTTGTAGTCTCAGCTATTCCGGAGGCTGAGGTGGGAGGATGACTTGACCCCAGGAGGTTAAGACTGCAGTGAGTCATGATTTGCATCACTGCACTCCAGCCTGAGTGCCAGAGTGAGACCCTGTCAGAAAGGGAAAGGGAAGGGGAAGGGGGGAAGGTGAGAGAGAGGGGAGAGGGGAAGGGGGAAGGGGAAGGAAGGAAGGGGAAGGGAGGGAAGGGGAAAGGGAGGAAGGGAAGGGGAAGAGAGAGGAAGCGAAGGTGAAGGGGAAGGAAGAAAGGGGAAGGGAACAGAGAGGGAAGGAAAGGAAGGGAAGGGAAGGAAGGGGAAGGGGAGGGGAGGAGGAAGGGAAGGGGAGGAGAAGGGGAGGGGGATAGTGAGGGAAAGGAAGGGGAGGAAGGGGAGGGGAAGGGGAAGGGAAGGGAGGAAAGGGAGGGGAGAAGGGGAGGGGAAAGGAAGGGGAGGCAAGAATGGAAGGGGGAAGGAAGGGGAGGGGAAGGGGAAGGGGAGGGGAATGGGAAGGGAGGGAAGGAGAGGGGAGGGAGGGGGAGGGTAAAGGGGGGAAAGGGGGAAGGAGAGGGAAGGAGAGGGAAGGGAGAGGAGGAGGTAGGGGAGGAGGAGGGGGAAGAGAGGGAGGGGAGAGGGGAAGGGGAGGGGAATAGGAGGGGAAGGGGAAGGGGAAGGAGAAAGAAGGGGAAGGGAGAGGGGAGGAAGGGGAAGGGGACGGGAGGGAGGGAGGGGAAGGGGAGAGGGGAGGGAGGAGGGGAGGTAAAGGGGAAGGGGAAGGAGAGAGGGAAGGAGGAGAGGGGGAAGGAGGAGGAGAGAGGTAGGGGAGGGGAGGGGAAGAGGGGGAAGGGGAAGGGGGAGGGAGAAGCGGAGAGGGGAGGAAGGGGAAGGAGAAGGGAGGGAAGGGAAAAGAAAGAGAGAAGGGAAGGGAAAGGAAAAGAATGGAAAGAAAAGGTGAACAAAGACATGCAGACTCAAGGATATTAAACTGTTTCAGAGCATGTAGGTTTTATTTTTTCAAAACTGGAAGGTTAGCATTAACTGACAATGGCTTTCATAAATTCAAAATTCATATTCACTTCATCAAAATCAAGGTAATTCTACATCTATTTCTCCAGCCCAGCTTCTCACGTTCTCCAGCGCTATAGAGGATGTTCATCATTAGGTGCCCTACAATCGTAATATCAAAATGTTCCCCACAAGGTAGAGGAAGTAAGTTTGGGCCAAAGAGAATCAAGGCATCAGATAGAAGCAAAAGGGAATATAGAAGGGTACACAGCTTTGCACCTCATTCCAATCTGCAGCTGCACTAAAATTACACAATACTGCTATTTACAGACATATGGAACTTTTCCAACAAACTATAACATCTTTTATAAGCAAATTCAGTCAGATTCCTCCACCTAGCCTCAACCAAGTTCTCCTATACAAATAAGCGGGTTCTCCATATCAAATACTTTAATATATATTGCTGTAAAGTTTAGCTATAAAATAATTTTCATAAAAATTTTAAAATCTTATATTTACATAGTACTTCACAATTTTCTAAATTGTTACACACATTATCTCTTTTGGTGTGCAAAAGTAATTGTAGAGATGGCTAGAACAGCATTTACTATCTATGGTTTTAAAACAACAACAACAAAATAAGACAAAGAATAATTTAAATTTTGCATAAAGTCACACTAAAGGTAAGTGAGAACAAAACAGAGATGAAGCATAAAGCTTCTGACTCCCAAATCCAATATACACCCAGAACTCTGGTCTTCCTGATTGCTATCAGTGCTCCATGCACCCCTTTGAAGTGGCTATGCATATTGTTAAGCACTTTTAGAACCATCTTTTGAAAGAGAGCCTTCCTGCATGTAAATACTTCTGCCTTCTAGTTGGCCTACTTGTGTTTCGGTTTGTTTTTGTTTGAGACGGAGTCTCTTTCTCTCTGTCCCTCAGGCTAGAGTGCAATGGCACAATCTCAGCTCACTGCAACCTCTGCCCCCTGGTTTCAAGGAATTCTACTGCCTCAGCCTCCCGAATAGCTGGGATTACAGGTGCCTGCCACCATGCCTGGCTAATTTTTGTATTTTTATAGAGATGGGGTTTCACCATGTTGGCCAGGCTGGTCTTGAACTCCTCACCTCAGGTGATCCGTCTGCCTCAGCCTCCCAAAGTGCTGGGATTACAGGCATAAGCCACCACACCAGGCTAAGTTGGCCTACTTTGTAAATGCGATTTTAAAAATAACATTTCCCTAATCAAGAGGATACCCCGGCTGCAATTATTTCGATTACAGCCTCCCAAAGTGCTGGGATTACAGGCATAAGCCACCACACCAGGCTAAGTTGGCCTACTTTGTAAATGCGATTTTTAAAAATAACATTTCCCTAATCAAGGGATACCCCGGCTGCAATTATTTCGATTACTAGAAGTTATGAAGAATTAGTGACACCTTGTGGCAAAAGCTTATTAATTCATGTTCTACTGCCACCCATTTTCAGAGATGTCCAAAGGCTTCATGCACTTCACTAAGAAGTTAAGACAAGAGCAAAACTTTGGAAAGAATAATCTAGGGTTGCAACTCTACCTCTGTAACTAGATTCTCTCCTCAATAACTCTACACGGGCTTCAGTCCCCTCCTCTTCACAGA